TGTTTGATAAGTTCAAGTGTTGTTTGTGGGATAAGGTTGTTGTGTATAATTGTTCGTTTTTGATCAACAACCCTTTGTTCGGTGACAGTGAGGTGAGGATATTGTTGTGTGAATATGTGGTGTAGTTGTTGTCTGTATGCTGTCATGTTTGTTTCGAGTCTTGTGATGGTGTAGTAAGTGCAGATGATAAATTCGTTCATTTCTGTTGTCCATTTCATCCGTTGGCGTGGTTTTCCAGCCTTTGTGGTCTGTGGATGCATTGCCACAGAAACACCAAGGCTAGGTTGATTCCTCACATCTGTTGAGGGCATTGCAGTAGCCTGTAAGATATGCACGTGGTGATTGCACTTCCAACTAGAAGATAAGCAAACAATACATAAATATTCCTTGTTCACCCGTGTTTATTTTCCTTTTTTACAGGATTCTTTTAGAGATTCCGACATTCCTTATTTGATATTTTATACAATTTCGGAAGTTAAGTTTAATCTCGCGACAAAAATATTTACCGCGGTACAAAATAAAAAGGGAAATTATGACTAATACTTAAAAACTACTTACTCTAAAAAAAGGAGGAAGAAAAGATAGGCAATAGGATAGATATAATAGGAAAGAATGGGTACCCAGTGTCGACGATCTTGGACTGATAGTGATGATGGCCGAATGGTGTAATCCTGTAGACAGTTAGTCGGATAAAATGACCCAGGCTCTCTAAACAAGCTTTTGGAGATTCTTATATCGATGTATGTTTTCTGACTCCTTTCGATCGCTAGCTTAAACTTATCGTCTCCGTTGTCCTTCCGTTGCTGTCAGAACAACCGGGAGGTCCTCTTCACACGTCTTAATTCTCCAACGTCTAAGCCAGAAAGTGAGTTCGGGTTCACCTTTTAGCCCTCAGGCTACCGCCTCTTCTTTGTTTTTGAAAGTAGGTCACCACCACCTTACCAGGAAAGGATTAGGGAAGAAGTTTCTAGAAGGCGATAGACAAAGGAAGAAAGAAAAAGAAAAGAAAAGAAACGAAGGGAATACAAATAAAAATATATACAAAATCAGGCATACGGCCACAAGCCATACTTGGGCCAGTGCTGCTTTCGCCACTGGTAACCAAGGGAGACTGGAGCCTATTTTTCGAACGTGAGCCTCTGCCTAACCCACAAACGCGGACCTTGTTAACCCAGGCGACGTCCGAGCCGGTATCATACTTAGATCTGGTTACTACCATAATGATTATCTCCACAGAATGTGGGTGTGTGGTCACTCTTAGCTTCATTTCTCCCCATAGACCTTACTGGCATGGGTGTCCCTACCAGGAGCTTGTGCTCCAGCCTGCATTGCCCTATGGATCTGTAAAACTACTGGGCTCTCCCACCACAACCAGGTGGTGACCACAGGAGAGATATATTATTATTATTATTATTATTATTAACAATATGTACAGCTATCCATTGATAATCCGACAGGTATGGGACCAAAGGGGTGTCCAGATTACCAAAAGTGATGATTACATATTTGGCATTGTTTTGCTAGCAGTAGCCTACAACATTCCCTACTCCAACTGTTTGAACAGAACTGCTCACGGAAAACACACGAAATGTGTGTCATCGTGTAAGAATTGGGTGGGAAGATTCACATCGTGACATGCTTCTGTACAAGCAGACACGTAACGCGGACAGGTACTGTACCTTGATGGGAGGTGCGTCGGACTACTAAGCATGTCGGATTACAAAACGTCGGACTATCAAAGGACAGCTGTACTTTATTTTTTTGCAAATTTTGATTAGATATAAAAAAAATCAAATTAACTATATTTTAAATAAAATTGGAAAAAAAATTGCTTGAGTTTTTCATATATTAAATGACTTACAACAAAGAATAATTGTTTAATATTTTATTAAACAATTACTCTCAACTTTGATCAAAAAATTTTAAACAAAAATACATAAATAAATTTTAATATACACAAAATATAAATAATAAAAACTGTATTTATTTATAAAATATCATAAGATACAAAATATATTTTCAAATTTAACAAATGAATTATAAACAGATTTTTTTTATAAATACAGTATTCACAAAATGCATAGATATTGTTCAAATTTATTTTTATGCATATTTATTTCCATTACCTTCCAAAGTTGTTTATATAAAATATATTTAATTATATATGTCACTCTTTTAAAATCAGAATTTATACTAACCTCTATAGATTTAATTAAATTAAAGACCATAACTAGTTTAAAAGTATTTAATATTGACATTCTAACACTTTTGAGCAAGTCAAGTTCATCTTCAAGAATGCTACATAAAAAAAAAGAACACTTGTTTAGGTCAGTGGTTTTCAAGTTATACTGACTACAGACCATTTAAACCAAGTCACAGATTTAGTATATCACCTATGCCTCTATCTACTTCTTACCCTGTGAAAATTACTTTTGGTTGCTGGGTAGGTGCAGACCAAAAAATTTGGCTTACATAAGATATAAGCAGTACATAAAAATATTCTTTCCTGAGGCTAAACATTATAAAATTGCATTTTATAAAAATGAATACATCAGTCCACATATCTCCAGTGTTTCACAGGTCATACTTTAAAAACTGATGGTCTAGTCAGTGGTTTTCAACTGGTGTACAACAACATACTAATATAGCACAATCTTTCCATAGATGTGCCATATATTTCAAAAAAGAAAACTTTTTAGGGGTGCATAATTTTTATATAAAGAATATAAATCAGCAATATCACGTTTTATTTACACATATATAATGCTGCTTATTTGGTGACATTATTTTTGGTAATTTGCTAACACACCAATGAGTGAAGATACTAACTCAAGAAGATTTACATTGTGAACAATATTGTCTACTCACATAAATAATATTCATGTTTCATTGCCTGGAACAGTAGGTCTATATAATTATTTATATTATATTGCTTAGATCACTATAACAAACATTGTTTGTCTAGGTAACAATTTCCTAGCAAATATATTATGTTTCCTAAACAAACATTGTTTATGCTATAGAGAGCTAGTAATGTTTACTAGTAATGTAATATCATTTAATGTTATGTTCTTTACAACAGTATTTTTATATAACATTTCTGAAGATGAGAATCACTTGTTCAAAAGCATTAGAATTTCAATATTAAATGTATTCTTAAACTACTAAAAAGCAGTTCTATTCTTTAAATTAGACCTAAAAATGCAGTTCAATATTTACAGTAAATACATTTTAAATTTTCTTTTCTCTTTAAATCATTTTATTTTTTACAAAAAAATATTTTTGAAAAACAAAATCTAACAAATTAANTGTCTGAATTCTAAGTAAACTTATGAAGATAAATCAAAAACAGTTTCTAAACTCAGTTTACACATTACAAAATTGGTGAAAATATAAAAACATGCAAAAATATATTTATTGAAAAATATTCAGTTGTAAATTGCCCAAGTGGGTGTCAACAAATTAATAAATTAATGAACAAACAAGAGCAATAGAAGAGTTAGAGATGAAGACAAACAATAACTCCAGTAACTAATGCTATTGTATAATCATCATTTTGAATAATTCTTTTCCTGTTTATAAGTAATGAAATATTGAAATGTGACAAAAATTTAGTCCTTACAATGGTTAACTAACTTTTGGACCATCTTGTACCTTTATAGAAAAAATTTTCATATACTTTTTTCTTACATAAAAATAATTTCTTCATAAATCATGTATTATTTTGATATTTTTAAAATAGTTTCTAAATAATAAAAAAGTTATATAATTTATGGTAAGTTTTAAATGAATATTTCATTAAAAACTTTATAGATTCAGAATACAGAACATTAATAAAATAAAAAACAATAAAAATCAAGAAATATATAATCAACATAATGTTTGTACTTTATGTTTTTACTTTAAATGCTTATAAATTCATAAGCATGATTTAATACTGAATAAATTTTAAAATATTTATTATAAATTTTCAGAAGAAACTGCACTTTAAATAAAAATAACAGCAGATTTTTCTTGCCAATTTCAATAAAATTTAAAATTTAATATTTATGTTAAGTGGTGAGTGGAAGTTAAAGATTTATAAAAAGAAAAAAAAAAACTCAATTTGTCGTGTTTTTAAATTGGTAAACAGAAATAAAAAAATTATTTCAAAAACCATTAAGTTCTGGTATGTTATAATAAAAATCAACACATTCTGGATTGGCAAGAGAGTCCTTGTTCAAAACTTCTTCACCACAAATTGCCTTCTTTACGGCCACTTCAACTTTTTTCCCGTTAATTGTATACTACAGGTTAAAAAATTTTCAATTAATTAAATTAACCAATATTAATAAAATTTTAGTAAAATTTACTTACAGGAATTGCTTTGGTTTCTAGAATTACAGCAGGAACATGACGTGCAGAGAGTTCTCTCCTAATTGCTAACTTGACCCTTTCTATCAGTTCTGTTGTTAATGAGTGATCCATTGCTAATTTTAAGAACAAAACAACTCTTTCTTCTTGCAGTTTGTTATACTGTGATACACATACACTGTCTTGAATCTCCTTGAAAGATTCAACTTGAAAAAAATTACTACTAATTATTCAAACTAATTCAATTTACATACATCTTTCATGTTTAAGAAAAATTATTTTACAAACCTATATTATATATTTCTGAACTTCCAAATCTAATTCCATTTGGATTCAGTGTTCCATCGCTAAAATAAAAAATATTTTCTTTAATTTTTAATAATTTATTTAAGAAAAATATGAGAGTATTCAGTACCTTCGACCTAGCATGTAAATTCCTTTGGTAACAGGATTTATCATACAAAAATCACCATGAGTCCACACACCTATAAAAATGTAACAGATAAAAATAATGATTTAAACAATTCAAGAGGTATAATATAGATTTGCAGCATTCAGGGACTTCTAAACCAATGGCATAACTAAGGTAGGGCAGGTAAAATATATACCCAGGATGAAAAATTTGGAAAAATCAGTTTTATGACTTAGTGGATAATTTATGTATATGTATAAACATTTAAATGCTAGAGTGAGAAAAATGCTCATTTGGAAATTATTAGAATTCAATCCATATTTCAAAAGAATATTGATTTCAAGGGCTACCTTTATTCCCGTAGGCATCATCAACCTAAGTTATACTTGTTAATTAAAAGTCATTCAATCCTTTTTTTTAAATAATTAAAAAACTGTCAGCAAAAAGTTAAAATCTGCTATTAGTACAACATTCAACTTTTTGTTAGTAAATAATTAAAAATATATTTTTCATCTATTTAAATGAGGAACACTATGAATTCTCTTATATGTGAAGTTTATCTCTTTATCCCTCCCTACCTTGCTTTATTTTTGAAGCAGTTTAAAGTATTTTAAATCTTAAAACAATTAATTAAATCAAAATTTCCTATGGTAAAAATTTTCATATTTTTAAACTGTCTGACAGAAGTCATGCCATTTTCATTTAAAATTTGTATTTATAATAAAAAATCAAAATATACAACAAAAATTATGATCAAAAGTGGCATTGAAGACATTAATTACTTTAAAAACTGCAATGACAAGCTAATTTTATGTAAACATTGTTAAATTCTGTATGAAAGATGATAAAAATTAACAAACATTTTCACAAAAGAAAAAAATTGAGAGCATTCTTTACATAAACAGGTTGGCTCAAAAGTCAATTAACTGAGATATATTTTTAATTAAGAACAGATTTATTTTAAAAATAATTAAAACTAATCTTAAAAAAATCTCAGTTAACCTTTTAGACCACCCTGTATATATTAAGCTAAACACATCACTTAAAATATATTTTTATATAGCTACATTTAAAATTGCTTATTCTGTAAAATAAAATTACTCTAAAATTAAGTAAAATATTCTTTTAGAAAATATTATATATATTTTATCTTCTAGTAAAGCAAGATACCAATTTTATAATTTGAGTAGAGACATACAATGCCAATCTATACGTTACTATCAAAGTTTTGTTCTTCTAACTTCAAGACAATTTCCCAAGGTAACAAGAAAAAACTCAAGAGATACAGCAATCAAGTTAAAACAAATATTGTCAATGGCAGATTTAATTATTTTTCAAAATCATTAAGAATAAACTAACTTTCAAGTGAAGTTCAATTTTAAGAAATTCCTATTTTTCTAAATCTGAGCCTAACTTTAATAAAGGAAAGTAATCTGATGAAATTGATGTAAAAAAGAGAAAATAAATAAATGTACACTTTTTGTAAAAAAAGTTGGAAACTTTGTGTCTAAATTGACAGAGTAATTCTGCTAAAATGTAATATTTTGTAAACAATACTTTAGACAATTTTATTTGGGCTTGTCTACATTACTCAAGTTCTTAAAATGTCTATGTTTAGCCATTATTGTTAATTATTCAATTGTTTTACAGTAATTTCTCTTATTAATTCTATACAAATAGAAAATGCTACAACAATCAAGATTTTCACTTGTTTATATTCTAATTAATATTAATGACATTTTGTAGATATCCATTACTGACTAATTTTGATCATTTGTATAAATTTTTAAGAGTTAAATTATTACCAATATCTAAACAGAAATGCTTGAAAGAGTTGAATCAGCATATTTTGAGTTATTTGAGTAAAGCATTGATATGAAGTTTATAAAATCAATTCAATTAGTCATTCAAATTAATAATTTTCAATACATTTTCCATACAATTCTTAGGTATTGAAAACACCGATAAGTTTATATATGATGTGATAAATTAACAATATCATCTTAAAATATTTAAATATATTCATTTCAATCATTCTTGCATGCAAAACAGATTATCTTTTCTACCATAAATTTTTTTAAATATTTCATTTCATAAATTTTAAGATTAAATTTATTAATAAATGTTTATGTAAGAATTTATTTCCAAATTTTTTATTTACTGTATATATCTGTAGGAGTACTTCAGTAAGAAATTTTTCACATAAATTTATATAATCATAAATTATTTAATATGGGTGAATTAATAAAATATTTAGTAATTATGTAATTTCACTGACACATTTGGGGAGCTGAATTAGACAGATAAACTTTTTTATGTGAATCAATAAAAATTCCCACCTTATGTGACTGTTAATTCATAAGTAAAATAGAAGACAACAATATAAGTCAATATAAGTAAAAAAGAAATATTAATTAGGAAAAGATTTTTGAAAATTTTTTTAGGTGTTTATTTGTTGTGGAGGGTACCAGGGCCTCTTGGTCCCCCTCTGGATGTACCACTGTGTAATTTTATATAGTTTTAGTAGTAAGATATTAAAATAATAACAACTAATAAATGATAAAATTTTACCCCATCATTAAAAATATTTCTAAGAATTTAATTTTCTTCAGAACCTCTTAAATAGATATTTTAAATATGAATTTAAATGATTCTAAAAACAGTTTAAATTTCAAGATAATTATTAATGTTTACAAATCGAATTGACACATCATGAAATTTTTCTAAGAAAAACTGCTATGTATTGATCTCTTATTGTATATTAATTATTACATTCAAAAATGAAAAAACAGTCATATGTGGATTTCATCGTTAATAATAAAAGAAATTTTTAAAAAATCATTTATATATAACTATGGCAGAACAATCAAATTTGTAGTCAATTAATATTAAAAACAGATTTCTGAATTAGACTGTATTCATAAAAATGTCTAAAATTTAAATAATAAAATGAATTAATAGTAGCTAGAGTTGCCAATTCTTGGACTCACTGAAAAAAAATTCTCAAATTTAGCAAAAATTATTAAATTCTCAAATTCCTAAATTTAGTCTTATTCATCTCATATTTACTCAACAAAATTATCAACTTTTGAATTAAGCATATATTAAAACAGATAAAAGAATAGGCACTAGCATTTTGACATTGTTGAAAATAAAAATCATCATATCTCCTAAAATGGAAAATTCCTAGAATCAACTCTTTGGGAGTTGGCAAGCTTAATAGCAACAGTACTTCCTAATATAATACTTACTTTGAAATGCAATGACATTATCATTTGAATTAAAGACATATAAGTCTTGATGCATATCTGTTATCTTTTTCTCTTCAAAGTTTGTTTAATACTTAACATTAAAACATAGCTATATGTTAATGACTAAAGGTTGGATTTGTATGCATGTCTTTTGTCTTAAATGCTATAATGTTGATCTCAATATAAACATTGAGTCCAAATAGATCAAATTAAGGTTGTCTGATAATGTATATTTTACAGATTTGACCATTTTCTAGACTAAATAAATGTTGTATGAACTTTATAGCTTGTTTCATGATTGCAATTATTTTTTCAAATTATCTCTAGGATGTTTCTGCTATATATGCAACAATATGTGAGAAATATTATCTCACCATCCAATTACAAATGAGCACACAAAAGTGAAATATTTTAAATTTGAATAATCTAACTTGCATTCTTTTAAAATCTCACAAACATACAGATTTGACATTGCAAATCTCTCATTTTTCAAACTCAAAATCCTTTGAAATAATTGGATTAAAATGATTGTAAATATTATATTTATTAATTTAATAAAGTTTTAGATTTAAGTCTTTCAAAAAATTGTATAAATATATTATTTAATTAAATATAAGGAAGATAATTTCTTACAGTTAAAATAGTCAAACTTCCACATATGGAATATATACAGAAAATATTCCATTATATTGAGTTTGGTTCAACCAACAATATAGGTAAAAGAGCAAAAACTAAATGCTGAAAATTGCTAAGAAAGTATGTACTGCAGTTTGGTTCTTACCTATTTAAAAAAGTTCTTTATTATAATGCATACCACAAATTGCTTCAGAGAAGTTTTCCATTTTCTTAAGGTCCAATGGCATTCACTAGATATGCACTGCACTCCACCATCCACATGAGAATGGATTGGCCGAGTGCATGGGTTACTCTACAAAGGAAATCGCTGAAGAAAATGATGCATGGGGATTGGTCCAAAAAAACCATCAATTTCTGTTACATCATCACATCACTCCTGCAAGTACGGGGGTGAACCCAGCAGAAATGCTGTTTAAGCAATGTCTGCAAACATGTCTTGACTTTGTGCACCCAGAACTGGCACCAGCCTCTACAAAAAACTCAGGATGTAAAAAACAGGTGTGCATCCTTAAAAACATGCACCTGTCTACATCTGTAGAGGAGGAGGGAACGCAGAATGGATCCTAGCTGTTGTGACACATTGTATTGGACCAATGAGCTGTGAGGTGAAAACACCACATAGACCAAATCAGATACCACTCTCTCATAACTCCAGATACAACAGAGAATGGGCTACCAAACGTGGAACAGGAATCAGATATAGTTCCACCAGACCATATCAAACTGGATCACAACTATATGGCTCAGCACTCACCACAACTGTGTCATGCAGTCTGCTCTCCAGCATACCTGCAAGACTTTCAAAAAAGACATAAGAGGAAAGGGTGAAGTGTATTGACAAAAAGTGTGTGTTGTGGCCAGGGAGCTTTAGTAAGGAAAACAAGATTGGGTAATATTTTGGCACTCTTTTCCATTATTCTGACCTTTTGTTGTATGCTCATGCTATCGACAAAATAAACGGCTACTTGGACTCATTCCAGAATGTTTTATTGTCTTCTTACCCCAGATTTAACAATTTCAACATATAAATTTCAGTGTACATTACAAATGCTTTTAACAAGCATATATCAGTGCATATATCTGATGTTTCTATGTGCATATATTGTGATTTGAAATGCATTTAAATCCAGCCCTTAATAAGGACATATCATTCAAACTAATTTAAAATACAAAAAATAACATATTGTTATAATAGAACTATGCTATAATTGACATATTGCTATAATGCTATAATTGACATATTGACTAATGCTATAATTGACATATTGCTATAATAGAAAGACCTTAGAAATCTAGCAAAAATTCAAAAATTTATGAAAAATAAAATGTTTTCAGCCATCTTCAAATGGCTATTTTCATATTCTGGAAGAAGAGAAATAATTCAAAATAAAATGCAACAAAACTTAAGTATGTGGTTGGAAAAATTTCATTAACCTTGTAATCATATAAGATTCATATATCAATCATATTCAATCATATATCAATAAGGTTTTTCCAATTTTCTTTTCATCATCTGAATATAAACACAAGTTTATCATATCCAAAAACTATTAATAATAAAGACTAAAAGAGAAATAGAAGAAAATCATAAATTGAATAGATTTTAGATAATTATGCTTGCTCTACAATAATAACTTTTATATAACTTTATAAAAAAAAAGGCAAGCTTGAACTTTATAATTACTAAATCATCATCATCATCAGGTTAATTTTGGAATAGGACTTGGCTATTATTAATAATAAACCTAAAGCAATTTGACCTAAAAAGATAAGTGGTGAGGCTGCTTTGTTGCACTGAATTTAATAATTATGATTATTTATTTTAAACTAACTTTTAATAATTCAGAATATTCTATAAGACAAGATGGAGAGGAACTTTAATGTACAACTTCTTATTATGCAGATGAGTTAACAGTTACACTAACTAGACCTCATCTGATCTTTTCTTTCAGATTATCTGAATTTCATATTAAATCAAAGCACAAATATAAAACAAAATATTTTATAAGCATTGATTTTAATAAGTTTAAAAAATTTTAAATTACTTAGAAATTTCTAAATATAAATAATGAGTTACCTGGAAATTTATGGAAATATGCTTTTTGATATTTTTCTCCATTTTTATCATTCCAAAAATAAATTGGCATTGAAGGAAAAGGAGATATACACACTAATTCACCTTTCTCACCAATAACTGGTTTTCCTATCATCAAAGAAAAATTAAAATTATTTTTATATAAACATTAATTTTATGTAAAAATATTTTTATTACTATAAACCTGTTTCATCCCAACATTCTATTGCCATTCCTAAATTTGGAGATTGTATTTCACCTTCATGAACTGGAAGCATTGGATTTTGACCAGCAAAACAGGAAATTATATCAGAACCACCTAAATAATATAAATATTTGCATCATTTATACTTAATGATTCCACTTCAATATTAAAGTTATATTTTTATTATAAAGAAGAGAATATCATTACAGTATAAATAACAGTTCTGCAAGGTCTGTTCATCTTCAGATTGCATTAAAACTAAAGTTTAATTTAAGCTTATGACAAAGTGACAAATTCAAAAACAGTTCTAAAGTTTAACAACATTTTGCCTCTCATAATTTACATACTAAAATCTTCAAAACCTCAATAAAAGTTCAAGTTATAAAATATTCTTTAACAGAGTAAGGCCTGTGATTATTTAGTGGTAATTCAGTGGCGTGCCGTCATTAGAAGCGGTGGATGTGCCGCTTCCCTTGTATTTTCTAAAAAAAACACATATTAATTTTAATTATATGAAAATAATCGCACAATATTTTATTATAACCGCATAATGTATCTTATTACAAATTTCTATACTACATGTGAAAAAAAAATAAGATTGCTATTATATATTAAGTTTAACATATTTAGACTTTTACAGCTATGGTGAGAAATGTTTAAAATTTACAAGAACCCTGTCACGTCTTTTGAGGTATATTAGTGACACAACAAAAGAGGCATTTGAAATTGACTGGTATCAGCACCCTCGGGATTTGGCAGCCCGCATGCATGTACACACCGCACACCTAGCAGGACTGTCTCTGATTCCACTCATAGGGAGCTATTTGACGAAGTGGTTAAGATTTAAAGAGTAAAGAATATTTTATGTTATTTTATGTATGTTTCATTACAAAGCTATATTTAATTATAATTTTCTTTAAAAGTATATTCATACAATTGAAGAATATTTTGTACCAGGTATGTATATCCACCACATTATATTTTATTTCACCAAGTAAGTTTTTATAATTTTATTTTTAATTTTGTCCTTATATGATGGTTAGCAATTTAGAATGTAATTGAGATATTGAAAATTTATTTTAAAAAAGTTTTGGCTCAAGATCATATAATGAAAAAGAAAACATTATTAAAAGAGAAAGGCCAATGCCTAAGTTAAATATAAACATTTCAATAAAAAAATTTGTTCAACATTTTCACAATAAAATGGCTCTGTAAATGCATAAAAATGCAAAAATTGTTTTGTTGACTTGCCTACTATTTTCAAATAAAATTAGTGTTGAATAAGAATGGCTTTGACAATTTAGTTGGCAAAAGACATGAAAAATCGTTGATTCTTTCGTATTTTAAGCAATTTGGAAATTGAAATGGAATAGAATTTAACATTAGTAAATAATATTAAAAAAATATTGAAAATTATAACGTGATAGTTACGGTTAATAGATATAATATATCTGAATAAATAGATGTTATATGTTTTTATCAAAGCAAGAATTGGCATTTAGAGGGCATATGGAATATATTGGATCTAATAACAGAGGTAATTATATTGAACTTGTTTATTTATTAAGTACATCAGATAAATAATCTATTAAAAATACATTTAAAGAAAAAATTAACTGATTGCACCTGGAAGTTGGCTTCTTATAGAAACACAGCTTCCCTATCATCAAATGTCACGGCACGCCACTATGGTAATTTACTTGTAACATCAACTACACATGAGCCAGAATCAAATCTCAATGGCAACTTTCTGCCCATTGCAATTTGAAGTCTAATCAGCTTCCTTTCCAATGGATATCTGTAAGGTAATCTCTGAGAATAACAGTATTGTCTCTTATATTCTTACTATTGCTGGCTTTACTCTCAGAGAAACAACTGTATTTTTCCAACTGAGCCATCAATAGAAAGAACCTTATGCCCTCTCTATTTTCATGGCATGCCTTAAAAGAACTACTTTACATTCAATGGAGTGGAATTTTTTGAATATTAAAATTCAAGCACTTTTTAAACCTGATAAGTTATCTTCAAGGATGCAATTTGTAAAATATATTGGATTTCTTTTGTTTTTGTAAAATTTAAACTTTAAATTGCATGTAAATTTAAGTTTAAATTCAAAGAGTTTGTTCCAAGTTTTAAATTCAATGTGATTTATTCTTTTTAAGTTGTTCTATTTACTTTAAGTTATGTTCTTTAAGCTGTTCTTAGAATATCTAATGTAAAGTAGTTTGTACTGAAAAGGTCTCAAAAAGAGCTAAAAACATTTTAAAATTAAACCTAATTAAATATTTGGTAGCCTTTTAAGGCTATGAAGCAGTATTCATAGATTTATATAAAATATAGTGCCAAGTTTTACTAATTTTAAGGATACAAATTATTTCCAAAAACAAAATCATTAAACATATATACTAAAAAATATTTTTTAAAAATCTAGTTTTAGGAAACTTTTTCTTTGGAATGTTTTTAGAATATAAAGAGATTTTTTGTTTTTGGTTAAATATATGCACCTGAAAATTGGTCAACAAAGCTTTACAGTATTTCAAAGATATTGTTGAATAAAGTATAATTTTCTTGATTTTTAAATTTGCAATTTTATTATTTCAAATTTTGTATGTTTAGAATTTAAAATAATATTTGATAAACAGAATAAACATCTATCTATAACTAATTGGCAAACAAATCTATTGATACATATTTATAAATTCATTTCTACCAAGGTATGTGGTGGTACACCAGTATATTTTTGTTGTTTTTATTTTATATATGTATATATAAGAATATTCTATTCCCCTTTCTCTTTGTTCTGTTTCNAAAAAAAAAACTCAATTTGTCGTGTTTTTAAATTGGTAAACAGAAATAAAAAAATTATTTCAAAAACCATTAAGTTCTGGTATGTTATAATAAAAATCAACACATTCTGGATTGGCAAGAGAGTCCTTGTTCAAAACTTCTTCACCACAAATTGCCTTCTTTACGGCCACTTCAACTTTTTTCCCGTTAATTGTATACTACAGGTTAAAAAATTTTCAATTAATTAAATTAACCAATATTAATAAAATTTTAGTAAAATTTACTTACAGGAATTGCTTTGGTTTCTAGAATTACAGCAGGAACATGACGTGCAGAGAGTTCTCTCCTAATTGCTAACTTGACCCTTTCTATCAGTTCTGTTGTTAATGAGTGATCCATTGCTAATTTTAAGAACAAAACAACTCTTTCTTCTTGCAGTTTGTTATACTGTGATACACATACACTGTCTTGAATCTCCTTGAAAGATTCAACTTGAAAAAAATTACTACTAATTATTCAAACTAATTCAATTTACATACATCTTTCATGTTTAAGAAAAATTATTTTACAAACCTATATTATATATTTCTGAACTTCCAAATCTAATTCCATTTGGATTCAGTGTTCCATCGCTAAAATAAAAAATATTTTCTTTAATTTTTAATAATTTATTTAAGAAAAATATGAGAGTATTCAGTACCTTCGACCTAGCATGTAAATTCCTTTGGTAACAGGATTTATCATACAAAAATCACCATGAGTCCACACACCTATAAAAATGTAACAGATAAAAATAATGATTTAAACAATTCAAGAGGTATAATATAGATTTGCAGCATTCAGGGACTTCTAAACCAATGGCATAACTAAGGTAGGGCAGGTAAAATATATACCCAGGATGAAAAATTTGGAAAAATCAGTTTTATGACTTAGTGGATAATTTATGTATATGTATAAACATTTAAATGCTAGAGTGAGAAAAATGCTCATTTGGAAATTATTAGAATTCAATCCATATTTCAAAAGAATATTGATTTCAAGGGCTACCTTTATTCCCGTAGGCATCATCAACCTAAGTTATACTTGTTAATTAAAAGTCATTCAATCCTTTTTTTTAAATAATTAAAAAACTGTCAGCAAAAAGTTAAAATCTGCTATTAGTACAACATTCAACTTTTTGTTAGTAAATAATTAAAAAAATATTTTTCATCTATTTAAATGAGGAACACTATGAATTCTCTTATATGTGAAGTTTATCTCTTTATCCCTCCCTACCTTGCTTTATTTTTGAAGCAGTTTAAAGTATTTTAAATCTTAAAACAATTAATTAAATCAAAATTTCCTATGGTAAAAATTTTCATATTTTTAAACTGTCTGACAGAAGTCATGCCATTTTCATTTAAAATTTGTATTTATAATAAAAAATCAAAATATACAACAAAAATTATGATCAAAAGTGGCATTGAAGACATTAATTACTTTAAAAACTGCAATGACAAGCTAATTTTATGTAAACATTGTTAAATTCTGTATGAAAGATGATAAAAATTAACAAACATTTTCACAAAAGAAAAAAATTGAGAGCATTCTTTACATAAACAGGTTGGCTCAAAAGTCAATTAACTGAGATATATTTTTAATTAAGAACAGATTTATTTTAAAAATAATTAAAACTAATCTTAAAAAAATCTCAGTTAACCTTTTAGACCACCCTGTATATATTAAGCTAAACACATCACTTAAAATATATTTTTATATAGCTACATTTAAAATTGCTTATTCTGTAAAATAAAATTACTCTAAAATTAAGTAAAATATTCTTTTAGAAAATATTATATATATTTTATCTTCTAGTAAAGCAAGATACCAATTTTATAATTTGAGTAGAGACATACAATGCCAATCTATACGTTACTATCAAAGTTTTGTTCTTCTAACTTCAAGACAATTTCCCAAGGTAACAAGAAAAAACTCAAGAGATACAGCAATCAAGTTAAAACAAATATTGTCAATGGCAGATTTAATTATTTTTCAAAATCATTAAGAATAAACTAACTTTCAAGTGAAGTTCAATTTTAAGAAATTCCTATTTTTCTAAATCTGAGCCTAACTTTAATAAAGGAAAGTAATCTGATGAAATTGATGTAAAAAAGAGAAAATAAATAAATGTACACTTTTTGTAAAAAAAGTTGGAAACTTTGTGTCTAAATTGACAGAGTAATTCTGCTAAAATGTAATATTTTGTAAACAATACTTTAGACAATTTTATTTGGGCTTGTCTACATTACTCAAGTTCTTAAAATGTCTATGTTTAGCCATTATTGTTAATTATTCAATTGTTTTACAGTAATTTCTCTTATTAATTCTATACAAATAGAAAATGCTACAACAATCAAGATTTTCACTTGTTTATATTCTAATTAATATTAATGACATTTTGTAGATATCCATTACTGACTAATTTTGATCATTTGTATAAATTTTTAAGAGTTAAATTATTACCAATATCTAAACAGAAATGCTTGAAAGAGTTGAATCAGCATATTTTGAGTTATTTGAGTAAAGCATTGATATGAAGTTTATAAAATCAATTCAATTAGTCATTCAAATTAATAATTTTCAATACATTTTCCATACAATTCTTAGGTATTGAAAACACCGATAAGTTTATATATGATGTGATAAATTAACAATATCATCTTAAAATATTTAAATATATTCATTTCAATCATTCTTGCATGCAAAACAGATTATCTTTTCTACCATAAATTTTTTTAAATATTTCATTTCATAAATTTTAAGATTAAATTTATTAATAAATGTTTATGTAAGAATTTATTTCCAAATTTTTTATTTACTGTATATATCTGTAGGAGTACTTCAGTAAGAAATTTTTCACATAAATTTATATAATCATAAATTATTTAATATGGGTGAATTAATAAAATATTTAGTAATTATGTAATTTCACTGACACATTTGGGGAGCTGAATTAGACAGATAAACTTTTTTATGTGAATCAATAAAAATTCCCACCTTATGTGACTGTTAATTCATAAGTAAAATAGAAGACAACAATATAAGTCAATATAAGTAAAAAAGAAATATTAATTAGGAAAAGATTTTTGAAAATTTTTTTAGGTGTTTATTTGTTGTGGAGGGTACCAGGGCCTCTTGGTCCCCCTCTGGATGTACCACTGTGTAATTTTATATAGTTTTAGTAGTAAGATATTAAAATAATAACAACTAATAAATGATAAAATTTTACCCCATCATTAAAAATATTTCTAAGAATTTAATTTTCTTCAGAACCTCTTAAATAGATATTTTAAATATGAATTTAAATGATTCTAAAAACAGTTTAAATTTCAAGATAATTATTAATGTTTACAAATCGAATTGACACATCATGAAATTTTTCTAAGAAAAACTGCTATGTATTGATCTCTTATTGTATATTAATTATTACATTCAAAAATGAAAAAACAGTCATATGTGGATTTCATCGTTAATAATAAAAGAAATTTTTAAAAAATCATTTATATATAACTATGGCAGAACAATCAAATTTGTAGTCAATTAATATTAAAAACAGATTTCTGAATTAGACTGTATTCATAAAAATGTCTAAAATTTAAATAATAAAATGAATTAATAGTAGCTAGAGTTGCCAATTCTTGGACTCACTGAAAAAAAATTCTCAAATTTAGCAAAAATTATTAAATTCTCAAATTCCTAAATTTAGTCTTATTCATCTCATATTTACTCAACAAAATTATCAACTTTTGAATTAAGCATATATTAAAACAGATAAAAGAATAGGCACTAGCATTTTGACATTGTTGAAAATAAAAATCATCATATCTCCTAAAATGGAAAATTCCTAGAATCAACTCTTTGGGAGTTGGCAAGCTTAATAGCAACAGTACTTCCTAATATAATACTTACTTTGAAATGCAATGACATTATCATTTGAATTAAAGACATATAAGTCTTGATGCATATCTGTTATCTTTTTCTCTTCAAAGTTTGTTTAATACTTAACATTAAAACATAGCTATATGTTAATGACTAAAGGTTGGATTTGTATGCATGTCTTTTGTCTTAAATGCTATAATGTTGATCTCAATATAAACATTGAGTCCAAATAGATCAAATTAAGGTTGTCTGATAATGTATATTTTACAGATTTGACCATTTTCTAGACTAAATAAATGTTGTATGAACTTTATAGCTTGTTTCATGATTGCAATTATTTTTTCAAATTATCTCTAGGATGTTTCTGCTATATATGCAACAATATGTGAGAAATATTATCTCACCATCCAATTACAAATGAGCACACAAAAGTGAAATATTTTAAATTTGAATAATCTAACTTGCATTCTTTTAAAATCTCACAAACATACAGATTTGACATTGCAAATCTCTCATTTTTCAAACTCAAAATCCTTTGAAATAATTGGATTAAAATGATTGTAAATATTATATTTATTAATTTAATAAAGTTTTAGATTTAAGTCTTTCAAAAAATTGTATAAATATATTATTTAATTAAATATAAGGAAGATAATTTCTTACAGTTAAAATAGTCAAACTTCCACATATGGAATATATACAGAAAATATTCCATTATATTGAGTTTGGTTCAACCAACAATATAGGTAAAAGAGCAAAAACTAAATGCTGAAAATTGCTAAGAAAGTATGTACTGCAGTTTGGTTCTTACCTATTTAAAAAAGTTCTTTATTATAATGCATACCACAAATTGCTTCAGAGAAGTTTTCCATTTTCTTAAGGTCCAATGGCATTCACTAGATATGCACTGCACTCCACCATCCACATGAGAATGGATTGGCCGAGTGCATGGGTTACTCTACAAAGGAAATCGCTGAAGAAAATGATGCATGGGGATTGGTCCAAAAAAACCATCAATTTCTGTTACATCATCACATCACTCCTGCAAGTACGGGGGTGAACCCAGCAGAAATGCTGTTTAAGCAATGTCTGCAAACATGTCTTGACTTTGTGCACCCAGAACTGGCACCAGCCTCTACAAAAAACTCAGGATGTAAAAAACAGGTGTGCATCCTTAAAAACATGCACCTGTCTACATCTGTAGAGGAGGAGGGAACTCAGAATGGATCCTAGCTGTTGTGACACATTGTATTGGACCAATGAGCTGTGAGGTGAAAACACCACATAGACCAAATCAGATACCACTCTCTCATAACTCCAGATACAACAGAGAATGGGCTACCAAACGTGGAACAGGAATCAGATATAGTTCCACCAGACCATATCAAACTGGATCACAACTATATGGCTCAGCACTCACCACAACTGTGTCATGCAGTCTGCTCTCCAGCATACCTGCAAGACTTTCAAAAAAGACATAAGAGGAAAGGGTGAAGTGTATTGACAAAAAGTGTGTGTTGTGGCCAGGGAGCTTTAGTAAGGAAAACAAGATTGGGTAATATTTTGGCACTCTTTTCCATTATTCTGACCTTTTGTTGTATGCTCATGCTATCGACAAAATAAACGGCTACTTGGACTCATTCCAGAATGTTTTATTGTCTTCTTACCCCAGATTTAACAATTTCAACATATAAATTTCAGTGTACATTACAAATGCTTTTAACAAGCATATATCAGTGCATATATCTGATGTTTCTATGTGCATATATTGTGATTTGAAATGCATTTAAATCCAGCCCTTAATAAGGACATATCATTCAAACTAATTTAAAATACAAAAAATAACATATTGTTATAATAGAACTATGCTATAATTGACATATTGCTATAATGCTATAATTGACATATTGACTAATGCTATAATTGACATATTGCTATAATAGAAAGACCTTAGAAATCTAGCAAAAATTCAAAAATTTATGAAAAATAAAATGTTTTCAGCCATCTTCAAATGGCTATTTTCATATTCTGGAAGAAGAGAAATAATTCAAAATAAAATGCAACAAAACTTAAGTATGTGGTTGGAAAAATTTCATTAACCTTGTAATCATATAAGATTCATATATCAATCATATTCAATCATATATCAATAAGGTTTTTCCAATTTTCTTTTCATCATCTGAATATAAACACAAGTTTATCATATCCAAAAACTATTAATAATAAAGACTAAAAGAGAAATAGAAGAAAATCATAAATTGAATAGATTTTAGATAATTATGCTTGCTCTACAATAATAACTTTTATATAACTTTATAAAAAAAAAGGCAAGCTTGAACTTTATAATTACTAAATCATCATCATCATCAGGTTAATTTTGGAATAGGACTTGGCTATTATTAATAATAAACCTAAAGCAATTTGACCTAAAAAGATAAGTGGTGAGGCTGCTTTGTTGCACTGAATTTAATAATTATGATTATTTATTTTAAACTAACTTTTAATAATTCAGAATATTCTATAAGACAAGATGGAGAGGAACTTTAATGTACAACTTCTTATTATGCAGATGAGTTAACAGTTACACTAACTAGACCTCATCTGATCTTTTCTTTCAGATTATCTGAATTTCATATTAAATCAAAGCACAAATATAAAACAAAATATTTTATAAGCATTGATTTTAATAAGTTTAAAAAATTTTAAATTACTTAGAAATTTCTAAATATAAATAATGAGTTACCTGGAAATTTATGGAAATATGCTTTTTGATATTTTTCTCCATTTTTATCATTCCAAAAATAAATTGGCATTGAAGGAAAAGGAGATATACACACTAATTCACCTTTCTCACCAATAACTGGTTTTCCTATCATCAAAGAAAAATTAAAATTATTTTTATATAAACATTAATTTTATGTAAAAATATTTTTATTACTATAAACCTGTTTCATCCCAACATTCTATTGCCATTCCTAAATTTGGAGATTGTATTTCACCTTCATGAACTGGAAGCATTGGATTTTGACCAGCAAAACAGGAAATTATATCAGAACCACCTAAATAATATAAATATTTGCATCATTTATACTTAATGATTCCACTTCAATATTAAAGTTATATTTTTATTATAAAGAAGAGAATATCATTACAGTATAAATAACAGTTCTGCAAGGTCTGTTCATCTTCAGATTGCATTAAAACTAAAGTTTAATTTAAGCTTATGACAAAGTGACAAATTCAAAAACAGTTCTAAAGTTTAACAACATTTTGCCTCTCATAATTTACATACTAAAATCTTCAAAACCTCAATAAAAGTTCAAGTTATAAAATATTCTTTAACAGAGTAAGGCCTGTGATTATTTAGTGGTAATTCAGTGGCGTGCCGTCATTAGAAGCGGTGGATGTGCCGCTTCCCTTGTATTTTCTAAAAAAAACACATATTAATTTTAATTATATGAAAATAATCGCACAATATTTTATTATAACCGCATAATGTATCTTATTACAAATTTCTATACTACATGTGAAAAAAAAATAAGATTGCTATTATATATTAAGTTTAACATATTTAGACTTTTACAGCTATGGTGAGAAATGTTTAAAATTTACAAGAACCCTGTCACGTCTTTTGAGGTATATTAGTGACACAACAAAAGAGGCATTTGAAATTGACTGGTATCAGCACCCTCGGGATTTGGCAGCCCGCATGCATGTACACACCGCACACCTAGCAGGACTGTCTCTGATTCCACTCATAGGGAGCTATTTGACGAAGTGGTTAAGATTTAAAGAGTAAAGAATATTTTATGTTATTTTATGTATGTTTCATTACAAAGCTATATTTAATTATAATTTTCTTTAAAAGTATATTCATACAATTGAAGAATATTTTGTACCAGGTATGTATATCCACCACATTATATTTTATTTCACCAAGTAAGTTTTTATAATTTTATTTTTAATTTTGTCCTTATATGATGGTTAGCAATTTAGAATGTAATTGAGATATTGAAAATTTATTTTAAAAAAGTTTTGGCTCAAGATCATATAATGAAAAAGAAAACATTATTAAAAGAGAAAGGCCAATGCCTAAGTTAAATATAAACATTTCAATAAAAAAATTTGTTCAACATTTTCACAATAAAATGGCTCTGTAAATGCATAAAAATGCAAAAATTGTTTTGTTGACTTGCCTACTATTTTCAAATAAAATTAGTGTTGAATAAGAATGGCTTTGACAATTTAGTTGGCAAAAGACATGAAAAATCGTTGATTCTTTCGTATTTTAAGCAATTTGGAAATTGAAATGGAATAGAATTTAACATTAGTAAATAATATTAAAAAAATATTGAAAATTATAACGTGATAGTTACGGTTAATAGATATAATATATCTGAATAAATAGATGTTATATGTTTTTATCAAAGCAAGAATTGGCATTTAGAGGGCATATGGAATATATTGGATCTAATAACAGAGGTAATTATATTGAACTTGTTTATTTATTAAGTACATCAGATAAATAATCTATTAAAAATACATTTAAAGAAAAAATTAACTGATTGCACCTGGAAGTTGGCTTCTTATAGAAACACAGCTTCCCTATCATCAAATGTCACGGCACGCCACTATGGTAATTTACTTGTAACATCAACTACACATGAGCCAGAATCAAATCTCAATGGCAACTTTCTGCCCATTGCAATTTGAAGTCTAATCAGCTTCCTTTCCAATGGATATCTGTAAGGTAATCTCTGAGAATAACAGTATTGTCTCTTATATTCTTACTATTGCTGGCTTTACTCTCAGAGAAACAACTGTATTTTTCCAACTGAGCCATCAATAGAAAGAACCTTATGCCCTCTCTATTTTCATGGCATGCCTTAAAAGAACTACTTTACATTCAATGGAGTGGAATTTTTTGAATATTAAAATTCAAGCACTTTTTAAACCTGATAAGTTATCTTCAAGGATGCAATTTGTAAAATATATTGGATTTCTTTTGTTTTTGTAAAATTTAAACTTTAAATTGCATGTAAATTTAAGTTTAAATTCAAAGAGTTTGTTCCAAGTTTTAAATTCAATGTGATTTATTCTTTTTAAGTTGTTCTATTTACTTTAAGTTATGTTCTTTAAGCTGTTCTTAGAATATCTAATGTAAAGTAGTTTGTACTGAAAAGGTCTCAAAAAGAGCTAAAAACATTTTAAAATTAAACCTAATTAAATATTTGGTAGCCTTTTAAGGCTATGAAGCAGTATTCATAGATTTATATAAAATATAGTGCCAAGTTTTACTAATTTTAAGGATACAAATTATTTCCAAAAACAAAATCATTAAACATATATACTAAAAAATATTTTTTAAAAATCTAGTTTTAGGAAACTTTTTCTTTGGAATGTTTTTAGAA